ATGCTGCTTTCTTCTTCAGGTAGTCCAGCTTCTCTGAGAGTTTTTCCATCACTCTGGGTATGAAATACCAGGCTAGAAGCAGGAAGGGAGGAATCTCTCTACCATCAAGAAAGAAGAGCCGGAATCAGACATATCTTTTGGGCTCTGAGATCCCTGCATGGTGAACTTCTTTGATCTAGGAGAGAGCGGGAGAGGGAGAGGGAGAGAGAGAGCTGTGACACCAGAGAAATGGTGGAGAAGTGGTGGCATCAAAGGCAACAGTATCAAGAGCAGGAGACAGAGAAGCAAGCTTCCTGGCCCATGGAAAGAGAAAACGGAGTTCTGGTGTTCATCCCCCTGGAGGTGGGAGGGGGTGTTGTACGTCAATCATTGCCATCTGTTCCCCCTTTCTCCCCCTTCTCCCCCCATTTTCCTCCTACCCTCATGGTATTGCTACGACCATTATTGGTCCTGAAGAGTTTATCTGTCCTGGATTCTGTGTGTTCAGAGCTCTTATCTGTACCAGTGTACATGCTCTGATCTAGCCAGATATGTAAGACAGAACTGTGGTCAAGATAGTGGGGGGTGGGAGGGGGAAAGTAAGCATTAAAGAACAGAGGAATGCTGTATGTTTCCTCGGTGCTATACTGCACCCTGGCTGGCTCGTCCCTTCCTTGTGACCCTTCTGTGAGGGGATGTCCAATTGTCTACAGATGGGCTTTGAGTGTCCATTCCGACCCCTCTCGTTTGCATTGAAAGAGTTGTTTGTTTTGGGTCTTATGATGTCTGATTCCATTGACACCTCGTGATCACACAGGTTGATGTGCTTCTTGCATGTGGGCTTTGTTGCCTCCCTGCTAAAAGGCTGCTTGTTTAACTTCAAGCCTTTAAGACCCCAGACACTATATCGTTTTAGTAGCCGGCACCATCAGCTTTCTTCACATTTGCTTATGCACCCATTTTTTCTTCAGCGATTGTGTCGGGAAGGTGAGCATCACAGAATGACAGGTTATTAGAACAAAGTGTTCTTGCGTTGAGGCAATACTTGAGTGTAAGCCCAAGGTCCATCTACTACCTTAATACTTAAAGTATAAATATATGCACAAAGACCTATATCCCTATCATTATATATTAATATATTTACATATATACATATCTATGTTTATACCTCGATAAATGTCTTTTGCCTCCTAGTTCTTTCCTCTATTTCCTTTTACTTTCCTCCTGTTCCCTTATCATGTTCGACCTTCATTCCACTTTCTGTACTTCCTCTGGGCTACATTGCACTTGATTGAACCCCACCAGGCATTCTATGCCCTCCTAACCATGGATTTTAGATCTCTTGTTGTTCCCTTGTCCCTGGGTTTGTTGGCTCCTCCCTCTATTTTCCCCCACTCCTCCTCTCCCCTGTCCCCTCAGAACTGTTGGTCCTGTTGTTTTCTCCTTGGGATTATTTATCCTGTCTATCTTATATAGATAGATATCAAAAAAAGAAAGTAAGAAAATAGCCTATGAATAGTTCCAGGTCTGTCTGCTGACTCTTATGAATGTTTTCTGCATGGTCTGATGCAGTGCCACGCCCTACTCCCCAACCCAGCCCGAAGTCTATCTTCAGAATTCCTTGGGGACTTTGTTACTTTGCTCCCCTTGCTGCTTTGTTGAGCTTCCTTCATGTTAAGCCCTGGTGTGGGAGGGAGTGGGTTGGGAGGGGTGTGTGTCGGACCTGACACAATTCCTTCATTGTGTTTCCGGTGCTTCCTGCTGTAGTGCTGTGGGTCAGTAAGTGGATGTTGTGTCTCATGGTGAGGCCAACCCTACAGTCCAGAGGGTTACTTTCAAGCATTTACGTGAGAGACCAAGGTTTGCTGACCCATGGAGCCTGAGGTTTATGACACAGTGGCATGCCCTTTTCTGCATTAATCAGCAGTGTAACTTTGCTTGAACTTTGTAACATTGACTGAGCAGGGCAAAGGTCAAGGGCCCATGTGGTCAAGAGGCCAAGTGCCAGAGAGAGGTATGCTTGCAGTCATGCCTGAGAAGAGCTGCTCCTGACTAGAGAACTGTATCTTGAGCTTTTGTCATCTGATAACTTTCCTAATAAACCCCATAATTGTGAGTATGGTGTGTGAGTTCTGTACAGCCATTTCGGTGCGTTGTTCAGCCCAGCAGAGAAGTAGAGAGTGCCAAGGAAGGGACAGTTGACGTCAGAATTGCTAAAGCAGGTTGGAGGAGAGTGGGGGTATGTCTGACCCTCACCTCTTAGGAATCAACGTTGGGCTGATGTTGAGTTTGGTTCTTGTGAAGTCAGAGATCAAAGGCCACCCCACACCATTCTTACAATGACTATTTAGTCACCATTCTTACAATGAATACATTAGTATGTACTGTATTGGCACTTAAATTGGCATTGAAGCTGAGAATATTTATCTTTCAAGTAGTGAAAAATGGATATTATTATTTTTAAATAATAATGGCTTCATGACATGTTAATATGATAAAATATTTTTAAACTAACACCTGTCTTTTTCTTTTTTAAAGCAACCAGAGTGGTATTGTTTTACATTTTAACAGATCTCCCTATTGCCTGGTTCAATAGAAGATGGCTTGATTCTCCTGTCTGCTTCTGCAGTTTGCATTCAGTCTATTGTAACATTGAAAAAACAATGTATGAAGAATCTCCACTCTCACAATTTGTGAAAGTATATTAATCACCTTATCTGATAATTAGGGATATTCTTTTTTTAACACAACCCCCAAACTCAAGTGGCTGTTTACTAAAAGTTAGTTGCAATGTGGAATCTCAAACCAAATCCATGAACTCTTAAAATTCTTTTTGTTTAAAACAGCTGTATTGCCACTTCATCCACATATCATACAATGCAACAGTTCAATTATATCAACACGAGTTGTACAATCTTTACCACAATCAATTTTAGAACATTTTCTTCTTCCATGTACTCATTGCTATTCATGTAATTTTTTTCAATTTTGGCAAAAATATACACAAGAAAACATTCTCCAACTCAACAATTTCTTCATGTATAATTCAGTGTCATTGATTATATTTTTCAGGTTGAACAACCATTATTGATATCCCTCTCAAACTTGAACTTTTAAAATTCTGTTACTCTAACCCCATTGACCTCTGTTGCACTCTCAGTGGAAATGTACCCATGCAGGACTTTGAGATGCATGCATTTATCATTTGGAGAATATAGGTTTGCTGAGTCTTGCACATCTTCCAAATTGTTAACACATTTTATAATATAATCTCAAAATATATGTTAGCATAATTTTATATATCAGTAGGAAATTCCTTAATTACTAGAACATTGTCAACCTCATGATAACAGAAAAGAGTTTTCCAAAATTCTAACTTTTCCTTGAAAGGTTTAATTTTATTGTTAGTAGCATAGCATAGACCATGAGTTGTGTTCTTTCAAGTGACAGATTTATGCTGTTCATTTCTTTAAAAATGTATGCAACATGTACAGGTATGAATAACCCTGTGTGTCATTCTTTCAAGGAAAAATTGTGTTCTATGAAAAACACAACTAGTTCAACTTGTAACTCAAATAATTACACAAATGCCTTTTCTTGAGACAACCATCATGTTTTGATACGGAGAAGTACTTTACTGAGTACTTCTCCTTTTGCTCCATAGGATATAAAATAAAAATGTACATAAGGGTCAAGATTTAGTAAATTAATATATTTTACTGTTTATTGAGAACACTCAACTGAAATTATAATTTTAAATTTTTGAATGTATGGTGGTTAAAGAATAAGACTACTACTGAAAAACAAAACTAAACTAGATCTAAACCCATGGCTAGCAAGTCCATTCTGGCGCAGGGTAGATTTGTCCTATAGGATTTCTAAGGCTGAAATCTTTGTGTGTGTGTGTGGTTTGTTTGTTTTTAACTTTATATTGTGAATTGGGTAAAGGCTTACTGAGAAAATTAGTTTTCCATTAAACAATTAATACGCATTTTGTCTTATGTCGTTGATAAAAATCCCCATAAGGTAACATCATGTCTTCCCTATGTTTCCCATTCCTTCTTCCTTCTTCCTTCCTAGCCGCTTCTGAATGTTGTCCTGGGGTAAATGCTGCCCTTGTGATTTCAAAAGGTTGAATCTCAAGGCCAAACCCTTTACAGAAGCAGACTCCCATATCTTTTTCCCTCAGAGCAGCTGGTGGGTTCCATCTGCCAACTCTTTGGTTAGCAGCAAGCATTTAACTACTGTGTCACCAAGGCTTCTTTGACTACTAGTAATACATGCCAATTCACCCATCATTGCTCATGAGAAAGGAAACTAAAGCTTAGCGGTTATTGTGAAAATATATTTGTCTTCTCAGACCTGAAAATGTTGCAGGTGCAAACAGGGAGTCTCAGAGGTCTGTGAGGACTACATGCCTAATGTCTAAATGCAAATGTTTTTTTAATCATTTTATTGGGGCTTTTTATAACTCATCACAATCCATACAGATATTCATTGTGTCAAGCGCATTTGTACATTTGTTGCCCTCATCATTCTCAAAACATTTGCTTTCTAGCAACCAGCCCTAAAATAGATATGCCTCATTCCGTTCATTGTGCCTTTTCCCCCCAGATTCCTATTTTTATAATAATCTAGAATGTATTTGTCCCTTGCTTTCTCTTATTTATTTTTATCAATCTACTACCATTAACTTTCCAAACTGTCCAATCTATGTTGACTTAATTTTCTTCCAGACTCAGAAGATCAAATTTCATGAATAATCATATATTATCTTGTTACATACCTTATATTTTAAGTATGATGAGGCTTTCTCTATTATTTTTAAAATGTAAAATTAACATGTGCATATGAAGGATTTATTTGTGGATTTAATTTTGGGTATTAGCAGGAAAATTATTTGAACTAATGCTGTTTTTGAAACTACTTAAAAATGCTAAATAATATATATGTGTTTTTATTTTCTTAAGAACTTTGAAGAATTGACAAGACCATAAGAAACTGCCATTCCAACCTGTTGAAGTCTAGTTGATTCTCACTCACAGCAATTTGGAAGACAGAATATAACTATCCTGATGGATTTCTAAGGCTTTAAATCTTTATGGAAGTAGACTGCCTCATTGCTCTCTCACAGTGTCTGGTGGGTTTGAACCACTGAATTTGGGGTTAGCAGTTTGAACCACTTTAACTGCTACACCACCAAGATCTCCCATAAGAAACTATCAGGCCTAAATCTGAGGGAAAACCAAAATTCAGAGAGAAAAACAATGCAGATATGATTCAGTCTTAAAATGCTTGAGATAATTCTGCATTATGAAGGGGGAGTCAGTAAGCACAAGCGTCGTTTAAAAGGGAATATCAGAAGATCAGACTCAGAAATAGACGGTATAATAAAGGGAGCAGAAATTGAAGCAATGCAAACATGGACCATGAACCAGAGTGCAGACAGTCTCTGAAGCTTTACAAGGAAATGAAGCAGATTCTCCCATGTGAGGAGTCAGTCATTGGGACATTTCTAGGTCCATGTTTTCCCTGTCCTCCCTTTGTCTAGTATCCTCAGGCTTGGGAACAAACGACTGCCACCCCTCACTTTGAATCTTACTGATTTGTTGAAATGCCAGCAGAGTTCAAGAGATGCCGTCCTGGGTGTGACACCAAGGCGGCTGACCTCTACTCTCCTAGGGTGGTCAGGCTGGAACATTACATAGTGTTTCATGTAGTGAGCCACTTCGATCTTAGTCACGTGACCCATGGGGTATAAAAGTGGTCATCCGGTGGGGATTTAAAAGGATACTGTTGCAGGGTCACTGTGAGTCAGAATTGACTTGATGAGGTGTCGGTTACTGATTTATGTTTTATTTGATGAGATAAGCTGTGCAATTACATAGAATATCTTTTTCATTGTGTTATATTTCACAAACAAAATGGAAATAGATCTGAAAATTAAAACCCCAAAATATATTAATTAAATTTTATTTTAAATGAGAGAAGGGTCACAGACTTAAAAATCCTCCAGATTGCTGCCTCTGGCTCACCTTCGAGACTCCTTGTATTTATGGTAGAAAATCTTATCGGTCATCTCCCTGGAGCATGGAGATCTTCTGTATGTAGTGTAATTGATTGATTAGCCCATGGAACTAAGTTTAAAACATTATTGAGAAAGAGAGATTGAACAAGTTTAGGCTAACAACAAATAGCAATACATGGATTATTGACTTATAGAGCAAATCCTTACATGACTAGATATACATGTTTGTGCAAAGAATGCGAGTCGGTTGTCAGGCAGAACTTACAACAGTAATATTCACTGGCAGAAAATGCATGTTTTAATACAGTAAGTAGGGCATTGAAGTATTCAGTAAATGTTAATCCGCCTACCGATAGTTCAGTGCTCTTGGTATCGCTGTCTTCTGCTTCACCCACTAAATAGTTTCAGTCTTCAGTCCTCAGGTTACAGGTGTGCTTGAGGTAGAGCCTAGTGCACCCAGTGGGGTGCATTGCATCCCTCTGGTATGGCCCTTGGAGCATATTGTGTGCCTTGAAGATCCTGGGTTCAATGTCCCAGTGTTCTATGGCACTTGGCCTGGATCCCCAGGGGGAACTTGGATTGTTTTGTGACATACTAGTTTGTTTCCAACAAACAAACAAAAATGGCCATCAGAGAGATTTCATGGTCCCTCAGTTATGTCTTAGTCTCTCAGGTTAGTGGAAGTATGTGTTCAGCCTGTCTAACTAGGCCTATGTGGTCAATGGAAACCTACAGAGGTAAGTCTTTTTTATGACCCTCATACCCTATATCAGTTGGAGGCAGGCAAGGAATAGTCCTCTATCTCCCCGAGACAGCTTTCAGAAGGCAGGGAGGACAGGTGTTATCATATAATCTACCTCACTTTGTCCCCTCTTTATGGTGCATAACGGGGCATGCATACATGTTTTCCACCTCCACCTGATCGTTATTGATCCAGGTGACACTGTTCACCTGCAGTATGCTGTCTGCTTCTTTTATAAGGTATAAAAGCTACTTTCCATGTGCCAACATGTTCAGGCTCTCATAGGAAGTACGTAATGTTCATGGAGTAACCACATTTAGCGGTTGTTGTTTTTTTTCCCTTCTTGCTAATGATCTGGAACCATGTGTAAGCATCATGAACTTCAGGCGTGTTTTAGTACATCCCTAAAATCTCCAAGGGGAATGCAGTCCTACCAATATCTTTATTTCAAACATCTGACTTTCATAACTATAAGAGAAGGAATGTGCATTGTTGTAAGCCATTTAATTTGTTACAACAATAGTAGAAAACATATACAGGTACCTTCCTCAAAGGTCTAAGAACCCCTACAAATAGTTTTCAAGATCAATGAGACATACATATTTGAAATACGAAGGATGCAATGAATGAAAACCAGCAGAAATGACACAGAAATAGATGTACAAAGCTTTCAGACTCAGATTAAGCAAGCAGGCAATGCCTACTATGCTTTAAGATAAGTTTGAACTTTTCTGTAGAGAGTTCTGTTCGTTGGCATTGAATGGGTTCTGCCCGCGCAACACTGTGTGTGCAGCGTAGAACTGCTCCGTAGGGCTTTCCAAACTGTGGTCTTCAGACGCAGGTCCCTAACCTTGTCTTCTAAGCCATTTGGGGTAGGTTTGAACCACCAATCTCTCAAACCATTTGCATGACCCAGGGGTAGGCCATTGTAAAACGGATTTCAAAATGACAAATAGAAAATGTCTAGAATGTAAAAGAAAAAATTAAGTACATATAATAACTACAATGATGACTTAGTGAATGAGTTTATCAACAAATAGAGTCCCTGAGAAAGAATAAATGAGTCAAATATTAGAAGAAAATATCCAAAGTGCAATGTATAATACAAAAAATGCAGCATTTTTATATGAATTGTGAGATAAAGGTTGACTTAGGATTGAGTGGCAAGGTCTAGTATACATTTATCACTTCCATAAGAAAAGTAAAGAGAGAATGGGACTGAGGCAATATTTGGGGAGTTGGGGAGAATAGTCCAAAACTGATGAAATCTGACAATCCACAGGTTGAAATACAATAAATAGGACAAAGAAAGAAAGGACGACAGGAACTCACAATCTAGGTGTATCATAGTGAAAATGCCGAATGTTACTGGTAAAGAGAAAGGCTTAAAGGAAGCCAGATTGTAAAAGGTCACCTTCAAAAGAACTATGAGACTTATGACTGATATTCTAGTAGTAGTAGCAATGGAAGCCAGAATATTTTCAATTGTTCTTCAGGGAAATAATTTCCAATAAAAATTCTCTATACCAAATGATGATAGCAACAAATGTACAAAGTTGTGTGCTTGACACAATGGATGTGTGTATGGATTGTGATAAGAATTGTACTAGCTCCCAATAAAATGTTTTTAAAAATTCTCTATATCAAGAGAATATGTTTTTGAAACTAGAAGGGAAGAAAATAAAAGATTTGTTAGACACAAAAAAACAAAGAGTTGATAGCCAGCCATATCGCATTTTTAATATTTTTAAAAGATGAAAGGAATAGGCTAATTAAATTAAATTATGATTAATTTTAATATTAACTAGTTTTTTATTAAAATTTAGGAAAGAAGGATAAAATATATTGGAGATACACACATTTAATGCTTTTATTTTTCACTTCTTTTTACAAAAGGAAATTTAGGAAAATGCAGGAACAAACAGAAATCTCCCTTAGACTTGTCACTCACTCATCCAAGACCAACCCCATTGCATGGACAGCTTCATCTTTCTCCTGGAAGCAGCTGGTGGACTTGAACCGCCAGTCTTGTGCTTAGCCACCTAATGCCTCACCCACGGAACCGTCAGGAGCCCTTCACTCAATCATCAAAACAACAGCCTACTGCCATTGGATCGTTCTGACTCAGCAACCCTGCAGATAGTTTCTGAGGCTGTAAATCTTCACCAGAGCAGACAGCCTCATCTTTCTCCCAAGGAGCGGCTGGTATGTGTGGATTGCTGACCTTGTGTGAATATAGTCAGTATTACTATAGCTTATGCAAGGTTCCTACCCATTTTTAATATATATTTTTAGCCTAATCACTCAACAATGCAATTTTATATTCCTTCTTTTTACTTTATACGTGGTGACTAAGTTATAAAGCATTTGGATTCTAAACAAAAGGTTGGTGATTAGAACTCACCGCTGTTCCATGGAAGAAAATGTGGCAGTCTCCTTCTGTAAACATTGTAGTCTTGGGAACCCTGTGGGGCAGTTCTACTCTATCTTATAGAGTTTTTATGAATTGGAATCTACTCAATGGCAGTGGGTTTGGGTTTTTTGGTTATATATCATAAAAGTTCTTATATTCTATTACATACACTTGATAAAGTGGTAATATAACATTTTATCCAGACATGATCTCATAGTTAACTTCATCATTCCTTTATTGCTGTACACCATTTAAAATAATATTTAGATGAATATTTTATGCACATATATTTTCATACTTAGTAATTTTCTTTAAGATAGCTTCACGAAGTTTAATTACTAAGTCAAATGACTTAAACAATTCTAATGTTTGTAATTTAAAAGTTTTTTTCCTTCCAATTTTGTTGACCTTTTAATTTCGGTTGTAGTTTTTCTTTGAGTAAATAGAAGTTTTAAATATTCATATAGCTAAATATTTCCTTATTTTTATATTGCATTTCTAAAAAGTTGATAAATATTCACTTTTAGTTTTCTAAGTTTTAATTTGTATTTGTATATTTAACTCAAATAATCTGGAGTTTATTTTGATATTTGATGTGAGATCATAATTTACATAAAAAATTTTTCCAAATTAAAAAATTTCCGACCTTATTTATTAAGTAATGTTTTCCTTTTCTATTGATTAATGAAAAGGGTTCATGATCTACATTGAATTTACATTATACTCAAATTTATTTCACCACTATTTTATAGCATTAATAGACTTTTTAATCTCAATATTTTTATTGTATTCTCCCAGAAAGTGTTCATGTATACATGTATTTATAAAAGCATATATGACATTTATTCCTCACCACATTGGGTCAGACTCCACATTCAGTTCTAAGCTTTGTTTTTTCTCTTCATTTTTCATAATAATAATCTGATCCTTATCCTGAGAATTTTTCAAATAATTTGTGAAATTCCAAAACATTCCTTTGAATTTTTATCTGGAATGGAATCAAATCCTATACAAACTAGCAGGCATGTCGAACTTCTCAAATCAGCTGCTTCATTTTGTCCCTAAGTCTTTGCTCACCAATTTCTTTCAAAGGGAAACAATGCATTCATCTACTTCAATCCCCTTCTTACCTTACAAGTCATTTTATATACATTTTTTCTTAACTGCTTTAATAAAAGCATACTAATTCAATGTTTTTGGAGATTGTAGTGGAATTTCTTGATATCTAATAATATGATTTGCAAACAAGGAGAATATATCTCCTTCATGTTCATCTTTATTGCACTATTCATAACTTCTATTGCAATTTTGATGCTTCTGGACACCCTACCTAATATTGTGTTGGCTTGAGGAAAATATTTTAGAAAGAGAAGATATATATACTTTCCTGAAAGAGCACATCAACATGATATAATTTCAACATTTACAATGGGCAGTTGCAACTCATAATGTCATTGAAAAATACTTGACATTTTGGCTCATCAAACAAGAATCTTGTGGATTTCATTAGCATGAGCTCATGTATCATCATTCCTGGGTAGACCTGAAAAGTTGAGACTGTTTGGGTCAAAGGTGTGAAATATAATAGCCATGAGACCTGACTGGAAGCAGTCAGTTATATCCATTCTCACTACAAATTCCAAAGACCTTTATAGACAAGATCTATAAAGTCCAGTAGCCTATAGTATGGGGCCTAGGCTGCCAAGAACCGAAAAGAAATTCAGTTAACATTCATGATTAGCTATATAGCGCCAGGCTGATTTTCACCCGTAGAGAACCTTAAAGGCAATGTCAGGTGTTTACCCCAAGGGCAAGTTGTCCTCTCTCCTACAACAGAGGTAAGATAATCTTCTTTGAGACAGTTGCATACAACCATTCCCGCCTCACATACCCCCCACCCCCACCCCCCGCTACTTTTGGCATGGAATACCAATATCAATATAGTAGTGTCCAGGATGACCCTAAGGCATTGCCATCTGACATGAACTGTTTGGTCCTCACCTACTTCCCTCCTAACAAGGAGCTAGCTAAAGTGAGCTCTCCCCTGGAGAAGTGGTCTTTATAATGTACAAGTAAGGGAGTGATAGAGGGTTATAAGCATTAGACAGTCTTATCACTCCATTGCCTGTGAGGTCAAATTGAATGGCCGCTTGACCTAAGGGTCACTGCTTTTCTTTCTCGGAGTTTGCCTTTAGAGCAGTGGTCTCATACACTAGTTGTCTTTTTTCATTTGACTACCTTTGTTCAACATAATATTCCCCAGGTCCAACCATGTCATCAGGTGCATGGTTTCATCATTATTTTTTTTTTAGCAGTGCATGGTAATCCATTGTGTGTATGTACCAAAGTTTGGGTTGTTTTTTTTAAGCCATTTTATTGGGAGCTAAGAAAGATTATCATTTCATTTCATAGTTCAATCACATCAAGCAGTATTGTATAATTGCTACCACAATCCGTTTCAAAACCTTCTCTTCCCTCTTGAACTCTTTGATATCGGCTCCCCTTTACCACCTCCTCTACCTCCCCCACAGGGCCCCCCACGAACCCTTATTCTAACCAGGTTCATCAATTCTAGGTTTCATATACCGCAAAACAAAACGTAACTAAAATTCAAGAAGGCTACCCGCAATGACAACATACATCAGAGATAAACCCCAATATGAAAACAAACAAACTCAGAAAATGTTGAAAACCAGACCAGGGCCAACATGTAGCAGAGGGGGATCAGCCATTGTAACCATTCAAGTCAGATTTATCATTTTGATCTACTATGGTCATCTCTCCAATACTCTCTGTCTGATAAGCAGTTGATTCCCATCCGTCCAATATGGATAGAGGGAAATTACTGGAGGTTTCTTCCTGTATAGATCTCACAAATGTACCTTGGGCTTCCACTGTCATCCATAGCCGTCTGCAAACCAGAATCTCACAGTTTGGTCTCTGACACTATTTCTTCCTTCGCCTTCAGATGATATGATTTACAATCTTTTGGTCACTGACGTTGGGGTGCTTCTTCTATGTTGACATCTCAGTTAGATGGCTCTTTGTTTGGAAACAAGCCTTTAAGACCCCAGCTGCTATTTTATCTGATATCCAAGCACCATCTAATTTCTTCACCTCACTTTGCTATAGCACTTATATCTTCTGTGCTCCCTTCCTGAGTGTGAATATCAAGCAGGGCCATGATATAAGAACTGTTATTAAATTGGAGCTAGAATTTAGCGTGAGCCCCAAATCCATTCCTGGATCTATGTTTTTGATCTGGCCTTGGCTCCCCTTAGAGACCTCCTTGTTAATTTATGGTAGAGAATCTCATCAAGCATAAAGATCTTCAGTTAATATTGTCATTGATTGGCCCTTGGTACTAATTTTTAAAACACCGTGAGAGAAGGATAATGGACCAAGGTAGGGTCACTCCATATCACAATACCTGAACTATTCACTTGTACAGAATAAATCCTTATGTGACTGGACTCTATGTACACAAACAATGGGAGTTGGTGGTCCAAAACATGTTACAATAACATTTGCTGGCAATGTCAATCACAGGTTTGTAGGAATAATACATAGCTTAATATAGCATATTAATATTGATGTACTAAGTCAACGTGTTCCACCTATTGACAGTTCAATGCTCAGTTCAGTACAGTATCATTGTCTTCTCCTTCAAACACCATGAATTTTCCGTCTTAAGTCCTCAGGTTGCAGGGATGTTTGAGGTAGAGTCCACTTCACCTGTGGAGTTTGCACATTGAATACCCCTGGTTCAGCCTTTGAAGCATGCTGTGAGCCTTGAAGATCCAGGATTCAATGCTCCAGTGTTCTATGTCACTTGGCCTGGGTCCCAAGGGTCTGTCCAGAAACTCTGGCCAATGTGCCTTATTAGGTGCATATTACCAGGGTTACTCCCCCCTTTGGGTCCTTAAAAGTATTTTCAGTTGACAATTTAAAACGATGGGAAAAGAGAGGGGGGTGGGGGAAATGAGGATGATGAGGGAACAGGGTACTAATATACTCATGGGGAGGGTATTGTTTATGTCTCCACAGGAAAGAGAGAGGACCAGATCCCATCCCAGTGCGCCATTATGAGGGAAACCTACTGGCATGGAGCAGCGAACTAACAGAGAGGATGATGGGCCTGGTGCTGACCCCCTTCCCCAGAAGAATAGAACACAGAGGACAGCACTGAAAATATAGCCCGTGGAGAGTGGCAGGTCTCCAGACCACACAGATGCAAACTAAGAGGAAAAGAGAGAGAGTAGATCGCATCATGGCTCGCCAAGCTCCAGGGACGACATCCTTGCTCAGAGCAGCCAGTGCACAGAGAAGACCATAGGGCCAGCTCCACCGCAAGACACGAGACATGACATTCCTTCCCTGATCCATAGCGCTATATGGGGGCAGCACTGGAGACACTGTGTGGAAAGTGTGCCTGGTTTGCCCACACACAGTGGGATGAAACGCAAAGGGAGTGCAACAGGGCAGCAAGGGGAGCAAAGTAACAAAGTCTCCAAGGAATCCTGAAAATAGACTTCTGACTTGGGGGACAGGACTTGGCACCTCACCAGACCTGATCAGAAAACACTCCTAAGTGTCAGCAGACAGACCAGGAACTAGCTATCTTTTTTTTTCCTCTTGTGTCCTATGATTATCTATATAAGATAAGGGAGGACAACCAATCCTAAGGCGAAAACAATGGTGCTAGGGAGACATGGGACAGAAGAGGGCTGGCAGGGGGTTGGGGGAGCCAACAAACTAAGGAATAAGGGAACAATGAGATCTAAAATTGATGGCGAGGAGGGGGTATAATGCCTGGTGGGATTTGATCAAGTGCAATGTATCCAAGAGGAATTACAGAGAGCCAAATAGAGGGTGAGCATGATAGTGGGACAGGAGGAAGGTGAAAGGAAATAGAGGAAAGAAGTAGGAGGCAAAAGACATTTATAGAGGTATAGCTATAGGCATGTATATATGTAAATATATTAACTTATAATGAAAGGGATTGAGGCCAAGGTACTTATATTTAAATGTTAAGTATTAGTTTATAGGTATATTAGTATATATATTAAATAATATGATATATATATATGTATATATATAGCAGATGGACTTTGAGCCTCTACTCAAGGTCTCCCTAAACACAAGAACACTTTGTTCTAATAACCTGGCATTCTTTGATGCTCACCTTTTTGACAGGATTGCTGAAGACAAACTGGTTGCTTAGCAAATGTGGTGAAGAAAGTTGATGGTGCCTGGCTATCAAAAGATATAGTGTCTGGGGTCTTAAGGGCTTGAAGTTAAACAAGCAGCCATCTAGCAGGGAAACAAATGAGCCTACATGGAAGAAGCACACCAGCCTGTGTTATCATGAGGTGTCGATGGGATCAGGTATCAAAAGATCCCAAACAAACAATTATATCATTGTGAAAGAGGGTTGGAATGGAGGCCCAAAGCCCATCTGTAGACAATTGGAGGCCCAAAGCCCATCTGTAGACAATATCTCCCCACGGAAGAGTTACAAGGAAGGGACGATTCAACGAGAGTGCAGTATAACACCGACAAAACACACATCATTCCTCCAGTTCCTGCATGCTTCCCCCGCCCACCCCATTACCATGACCCAGTTTTGTCTTACAAATCCAGCTAGACCAGAGTACACACAAGAGCTCTCGACACATGGACTTCAGGACAAATAAAGCCCTTGAGAACAGTAGTGGGAGTAGCAATATGAGAGTAGGGGAATGGTGGAGGGAGAGGGAGAACAGAGGAACCCATCACATGGTTGGATATATAACCTAGCCCCAGGGGGAGAAATAACAAATGTGAAAGGAGACCATGGACAGTGTAAGACACGGAATAACAATATATAATTGATCAGGATTCAAGAGGGTGGAAGGCTGGGGGATGGAGGGGGAAAAAACGGAGTTGATTCCAAGAGCTCAAATAGAAAGAAAATGTTTTGGAAATGTTGATGGTAACATATGTACAACTGTGATTAATACAATTGAATGATGGATGGTTATAATATTTGTAAGAGCCCTCAGTAAAATGATTAATTAAAAAAAGGTATTTTCAGTCATCCTCCCCCAACTTGGAGGTTGGCCCTCCCTCTTTTTCTACCAATACTTGAGCACTTGTCTTCTCCCAGGTGTGTCTGCCCCTTTCCTCTCTCCTGACTTGACTTTCCCATCAGTATCCCTCATCCTTCTGATAGGGATGTCTACCCACCTTGGAGGACCCCATCATAACTTTGCATGGCAGCCACTAAGTGGTCAGCATCCCCTCCCTCTCCCTTGACAATTTTATCCCAACAGACGTGAAGAGCCCTCTGCGTAAGTGATCTTCAAGTTATACACCAACAGCATGGTGTATGGCTCATTGGCACCAGTCGGACTCTCTACCAAGGTTTGGGGCCGCCCTGGCCAGCAGACGGAATGCCTTGCAAGCCTGACCTTGTGCCCATCCTGTTGTTTGTCCCTACAGCAGTGGACTCATGCAGTATTTGTCCTTTTGTGAATGACTAGCACAGTATATGTGTAGGAATCTTTTCCCCCTTTAAAATGGGAAAAATTACACAAATGATAAATTTAATAGATTATATCAATAGCAATTAGAAAATGAATAAATGACAAAATTACATTGTAAAAGACATCAGAGTGATTGGAAGCAAGATGAGAGAATTAATTATACTTTAGAGGGAGGGACCATAAACCCTTTTTTAGTGGGAGTATATAAGCAAGAAGTTTTGTACCCTACAGGTATTTGCTATTTCTGAACTTGTGTAAATGATTAGGTAAAATTCTCACTGCCATTGTCAATTCCAACTCACCTTGACCCTATAGAAGACTTGAATGATGTAATAAGTTCTGAAACAAGAATTATCACAGCATCATCTTTCTTGGATTTATTTATTTTATTGAAGTTCATCCTGAGAGTCTCTTGCAGATGCCTACTTACTGAGGTTTTCATTTCAAAAAATGTTTTTAATGTCTAAAATGTCTGTGTGCTTCATTTTCATGGATGAATAGACATGTTGAATCACTTTGAGAATACTTATTATATTTGCAATGTTTATATAAAGACATATTCTATGTATTGTAACTACACTTATCTTAAAAATATAACATTTATTAATTTATACTTCTGTTTTTAATAATAATGTTTAATCATCCTCTTTCCTAGGGCATTATTAATCCACACTCACTGCTATCTAGTCTCTTCCAACTTGTAGCCACGGAGAGTTTCTGGGGGTTTCTGAGACTGACTATCATTGCAGGAGCTGAAAGCCTGTCTCTGTCCAGCTGAGCGGCTGATGGATGGAACTACTCATAACCCACAATACCACCAGGCCTCTGGTGGCGATGTTGGGTAAACATTGGACTAATCTCAAGGTGATTCAACAAAGCCATTTCTTGGGGAAAACGTGAGGCTTTCTGCTCCTGTAAAGATGTACAGCTTCCGAATCCCCAAACAGAGGGTGGCTACGAACTGGAGCCCTGGCAGTGTAGTGGTTACGAGTTGGGCTGCGATCTGAGGGAGAAAGACTGGACTTTGTTCTCCCATTAACAGTCAGAAACCTTCAAGGCGTCGCTATGAGTCACCATGGACTTGACGGCAGTGAGAGTTGAGTCAAAACCGATTTGATGGCAAGGCATTATTCTATTTAGTTAGCTTGGTGCATCTACACATTTATAGTCCTGATTTTGATTACTTCTGTACTTTGTACATGAGAATCCCTTTTAGCTCTCCCAATTCTATTTAATGTGAGCTGACTGTGGTGATTATAGGGGAAGGGAAGGACATTTCTCTGGTTGAAGCGTGTGGTAGTTTATTTCCAGAGCAAGCAGTTTCCCTGTGCTTCAGGGATTCATTGCTACTGTTCTGTTTTTTGGGTCTCAGGACCCCTGCTCAATGGTTTAATCTGTGGACAGGCACAGCATACAAAAAGGAAGGGGACCAGCAGTCTAGCTGTTCCAAATGCAATGTCTCCATTAATCACTAGGAACCCCACCAAACACGGAATTTGCTATCTATGAGCTTGAAGCTTCCTTAATATTGTTTCTACTTTCTCGGCAGTCTTGGGTCTGTGTTTGTGCTACAGCTGCCTAATTGCTTCTCCAAGGTCCTGTACTGTCTCTTGAAACACTTGAAACATTGTTGGTACATTTCCCCCCCCAGCCCTATTACTAACTAGTACCCTCCTCATCTCTCTCTTAACCTTCTCTGTCATTTTATAAGATCAGAGAAATTCAGGAAGGTAGAGGTAAGCTTCCTTTAGTCTGACATCTTAATGTAATCTTCTTGGACAAGAATTTTAAAGTAACGCTTTCAAAACCACATTAGATATAATTTGTGAGTGGTAAAACATGATCTTACCATGTTTTCCAAAACATCGTAAAAGATACTCAGACGGAGTATCTCTAGCACAGAAAGAAAATTGAGACCCACATCTCTGTGGGGATTCAAAATGATAAAAGAAAACTTTCATCAAGAAATAGGAGGCAAAAGCTATTTATAGAGGTATAGCTATAGGCATGTATATATTTAACTATATTCATTTATAATGCAAGGTATTATATTTATAATGCAATGTACATATATTTATATGATAAGTATTAAGATAGCAGATGGACTTTGAACCTCTACTCAAGGTCTCCCTTAATACAAGAACACTTTGTTCTAATAGCCTGGCACTCTTTGATACTCAACTTCCTGACAGAATTGCTGAAGACCAAATGGGTGCATAAGCAAATGTGGTGAAGAGAGCAGATCAAAAGATATAGCATCTGGGACTTTAAAGGCTTGAAGTCAAACAAGCAGCCATCTAACAGGGAAGCAAATAAGCCCATATGGAAGAAACACCAGCCTGTGTGATCATGAGGTGTCGATCAGATCAGGCATCAGGTATCAAAAGATCCAAAACAAACAATTATATTGATGCAAAAGAAGGGGGTTGTAGTGGAGACCCAAAGCCCATCTGTAGATAATTGGATATGCCCCCATAGAAGTGGTATAAGGAAGGATGATTCAACCAATGTGTAGTATAGCACCGATGAATCACACATCATTCTTCTAGTTCCTGAATACTAACGCCCCCCACCACACTACCATGACCCAATTCTAACTTACAAATCTGGATAAATCAGAGAACACACATTGGTACAGGTAAGAGCTCTCAACACATGGAATTCAGGAAAGATAAACCCCTCAGGAACAGTAGTGGGAGTAACGATATCATGAGGGTAGGGTGATGGTCAGGTTGGGGAAGGATGAGAAAGGGGGAACCCATCACAAGATTGGATATACAACCCCTGCTCTCAAAGGGTATGAATAACAGAAATGTGGGTGAAGGAAGACAATGGACAGTGTAAGATACGAAATAACAATATATAATTGATCAAGGATATACAAGGTTAGGAGAGTGGAGGAGGGGTGGGGGGAAAGGAGCTTATACCAAGGGCTCAAGTAGAAAATGTTTTGGAAATGATGATGGCAACATATGTACAAATATGCTTGG